TTGGGGCGCTCTTGGGGCGCTCTTGGGAGCCTTCGGGGCGCTCTTGGGGCCATCTTGGAGGAGATCTATCAAGAAGGGGGGGTTGCTTATTAGCGTTGCCCCTCTAGAGTGCCTCGAATCGCCTCTTGGGCCTTCCTAGAGGCCAAAATCCGTCCAAAACCTAAGGAAAATCAATGTTTTTTGCTTTCTCGCCTTTTCGCTCTTGGAGCCGTCTTGGGCCATCTTGGGAGCATCTTGGGGCCTCTTGGGGGTCTCTTGGGAGCCTCTTGGGGGCATCTTGGGGGCCTCTTGGGGCCTCTTGGGGCCCTCTTGGGGCGCTCTTGGGGCGCTCTTGGGAGCCTTCGGGGCGCTCTTGGGGCCATCTTGGAGGAGATCGATCAAAGAAGGGAGGGTCGTATATTAGCGCTGCCCCTCTAGAGTGCCTCGAGTCGCCTCTTGGGCCCCCCAAGAGGCCAAAATCCTTCCAAAACCTAAGGAAAATCAATGTTTTTTGCTTTCTCGCCTTTTCGCTCTTGGAGCCGTCTTGGGCCATCTTGGACTCTCTTGGGGCCTCTTGGGGGTCTCTTGGCAGCCTCTTAGAGGCTTCTTGGGGGCCTCTTGGGGTCTCTGGGGGCCTCTTGGGGCGCTCTTGGGGCGCTCTTGGGAGCCTTCGGGGCGCTCTTGGGGCCATCTTGGAGGAGATCTATCAAAGAAGGGGGGAGCTCCAATTAGGGTTGCCCCTCTAGAGTGCCTCGAAGCGCCTCTTGGGCCCCCCCAAGAGGCCAAAATCCTTCCAAAACCTAGGTAAAATCAATGTTTTTTGCTTTCTCGCTTTTTCGCCCTTGGAGCTGTCTTGGGCCATCTTGGACGTCCCCGACACCTCGCGAGACGCCTCGTCCAGGTCAGTGGGGAGGGGTAAGGGGAGGGGTAAACCCCTCCCCGAAGGGGAAGAAGGGGGGTTGGCAGAGGAAACTCTCTAGACCACCTACGCCCTAAAGGGCTGGTGGGATTTCACTGCGACATTCCGAGCTCTCACGGGTCGCATCAGCACCGCTACGACACTCTGGTCCAGGAGCAGCAACGCCATACCATTCCAAGCTCAAAGCAGGACCACCAGGGACACTCAAATCTACGAGCAGGATCTCTATCCCACTCAAGTGTCAAAGCAACACCACTAGGACACTCAGGCCCAGGAGCACAGCGCTATCCAAGGCACAGCTCCCAGCAAAAGCTCTATATCGCGCTCAAGGGTCACAGCAGCACCACTACGACGTTCATGTTCAGGAACACCACCATTAGGACATTCATGTTTTTGATCAGCGCTATTCAATCCCATGTCAATTCTAGGAGCAGCGACGCTACCCCATTCAAGGGACGCACCAACATAACTCCGACATTCTTGACGTTGAGCAGGAGTATTACTTGCTTAGTCAGCGACGGTTCTGCCTCGGCATCGCGCTGCGCCGTCCAAGCACGCTTGCCCGCCAGAGGCATGACTATCACGCTCGATCTACTGATGCGAACTCCGGTCAAGTATACTCAACTCTCGAGGTAGATGACAACAGACATGGTCCGGATCATCTGGGAGTGTGGCGAGCGCGCGAAGAGGGCCAGGGCGCTCCGTCGCCCGCGGGCGACCCCGCGGGTTTGCCCCCGCGAAAGCCTAAAAGGGCATTCTAAAGCGCCGGGCAAAACCTAAAAGGGCTTTCGTCTGCCTGATCCTTGCATCCCTCTTTCGCTTTTCCGCCTCTCGTCGATGTCAGAACTCTTGGCCTCCTATGACACCCCCCGCTGGCCTGGGTGGTGCACTCAGGTCGCGGGGGGGGGGATAGGGGGGAAGCTTGTTGCCGCGGCTGGTGCCTCGTCTCCACCGGGGGGGGGGCGCCGTTCCCTGGGATGGGCACATCCCCCCTCCAAGAGCCTTCGAGCTCATTCCCTCTCCGTCCTTTCCCCTCCTTCCCCTCGAGCTCCAATGCCTTTGGCGTCTCCGCCACCTTCTTTTGGAATTACTTTCGCAAGCGTTGTGTTTGTTCAATTAGGTAGGTGCATCACACCTTTTCAGTCGAAAACAACGGTTCGAAGCAGTCGTAACACCAATAGTGGTGGTAGTAGTGGTAGTAGTAGTAGTAGTAGTAGTAGTAGTAGTAGTAGTAGTAGTAGTAGTAGTCGTAGTAGTAGTAGTAGTAGTAGTAGTAGTAGTAGTAGTAGTAGTAGAAAAAGAAATAGTATAAGTAGAATCCGTAGAAGTAGTAGTGGTAGTAGTAGTAGTAGTAGTAGTAGTAGTAGTAGTAGTAGTAGTAGTAGTAGTAGTAGTAGTAGTAGTAGTAGTAGTAGTAGTAGTAGTAGTAGTAGTAGTAGTAGTAGTAGTAGTAGTAGTAGTAGTAGTAGTAGTAGTAGTAGTAGTAGTAGTAGTAGTAGTAGTAGTAGTAGTAGTAGTAGTAGTAGTAGTAGTAGTAGTAGTAGTAGTAGTAGTAGTAGTAGTAGTAGTAGTAGTAGTAGTATTAGTCGTAGTATTAGTAGTAGTAGTAGTAGTAGTAGTAGTAGTAGTAGTAGTAGTAGTAGTAGTAGTAGTAGTAGTAGTAGTAGTA